AATGTTCTCAGCCTCAAAACAGGTGTAAGGCGAAAACACGTGAGGGAAATTATTTGCCACTGGAGAACTTCTCCGGGAGGAATTGTTGGATAAATACTAGCTGGAGATTGGGATCAGCAGCTGCCGAGCTGGGCTTTTCCCACTGGAGGCAGCTTGGGAGCTGTGTTATGAGATGCAGGCCCATGCAAAGCAATAACGCCGTTGCATGAGTGCGCTGTGGTAATTGCCCATGCACTCACATGCTGCGTCCTGGGAGATCCTGGTTAAATGGCAAATAACAAAGGCATGGGAAAAGAGCTGCCCCTGTCTTTTGCAGTAGAAGCAGGCAAAATAGGGCACTCACAGCTGGAGGACGAGTTATAGAATGGAAGGAAAAGCAGTGCGGCATCCGCAGGATTGATGCATCTGTGCAGCCTTTTGTTGACATAATCCAGCGTTTGCTGAGGCACAGGACGAGCCACAGGTCCAATGGCAACGTGTGCTATTGGCATCTTTGTTACAGAGAATTACCTCTAGCCCAAATGTGTGATAGATCAGTTTAGATTCTTTCCTTCAATGCATCTATGCTGGCTTCAGGTTGGGGCCAGCATGCATTTCTTGCCTGCTTTTTTCAGCTGGATAGACTTAAGCAAATGGAGATCATGTGACTTGCCAAAACCACCCAGTGAGTCACTGGTGCAGCCTAGATTAGATCTCAGGAGCTTTCTAGCTTTGATCTAGCCACAAGACCACATGGCCTCTTTCTATAGTCTTTGATGAAAGGCTACATAAACACACAGAAGGGAGTTTACTAAATTTTTGGGAGGTTCGAGTGTTGCCCCTGAGGCAGGCAAAATTGGAACGGGCTACAAACGGGCGCTTTGTGTGTATGTGCTGGAATAAAGAGAGAAAAGTACACATCTAGAGAGCTGCGAGGAGAGCCCTGCAGACAACAGGATGCTCAGGAGGCTGTGCCATACCTGCCATCTGGGCCTTTCCACAAGAGCTGCTTACCTTATACAGAGAGCTCATTGCGTCATCCTGCAGAAAGTATAAACACATTAGGCAATGTTATTCTCTAAAACATCAACACATGAGCTACTTACAATGGACTAAAAAGTCATTGTTGCTTTGAGGATATATTTGTCCCAAGTGATTCATAACAATCTGTGGCACTGAGGCTACGAAGACTTCTAAAGGATGCCTCCACTTCCAGGCAAGTATCCACGGAAACAAGCCCACAAGTTTGCTTTGTTTGCTTCTTTTTACCTAGGATAACCTTTTAAGCTACTTTGCAGGCAGCCAAGCTCCCCGGACAAAGTCAGCGTTGATCCCCTGAGAGCGCTCGTCTCTGCTCTCTGTACCTGCTGCCCAGGACTCAGAGCAGCTCAGGTACTCTCTGCTCTCAGAATGGGCCCTGTGGTTGGGCAAGGTCTGTCCTCTGCCCTGGGAAAGCTCACAATCACTCAGATCACTACGTTTAACTTTGTAAATTGCTTTTCTTTTCTTTTTATTTTTTTTCTTGCTCTGACCCCACTGTCCCTCCAAACTCAGCTCTGACTTGCAGGGAGACCTTCTGAAATATTCTGGATCCCGTGAAACCTCCACAGCCACCTGGCACCCAGCCCTCAGCTCTCAGAGAGCCACGTCACGAGGGTGAAGCAGCGTGTGTGTCTGTGTCAACACATAACAAAACACATTGTGCGTACCCTGAGCTCAGGAACTAATACGTGCTCTGGCAGGAAGACAGCTGTACCAGCAAGAGCACAGGGTCATAAGCAAAGGCAATATTATCTCCTAGGGGACTAATAAAGACAAAAGACAAAGCAACTGTTTACTGTACTACTGAGAAGGCTGTGTGGGACAGTGCACTGGGGAACACAGCAGCTAGTGTCACACGGATGTTAAGCACAGGTAAATGTTCAACCCAAAAAGCATACAGAAACTCAACCTCAACTCTACCTAGCTGTCCTGGGCAATGAGACAAGAGTGTAACAGGCTCACCAGAGAGACTGCCTGAATTCCTCCTCTCCTGCTGCTCTTAACTCATCTTGTCTTCTTGATTTGAACACCTCTAACAACATGACCACCAGTTTGGGCCGCCTGTTAATGCTGGTTGTAGAGGTGCAGGGTCAGCCCCTGGGATCTCTGTGCTTCTGCACCAGGACTGGGAACTGTATGTCTGCCAAGCTCTGCAAGCCTGTACTGCATTAGTGCCCCATACCAGCAGGAAATGTCCTCCTTCTGGTGCTGTAAGCCACGAGATGTGATTTATGGAGTGAAGTTCTAATTAATATAACTGGAAATGAGATACTGATGGGCAGCTGTGAAAAGACCACCTCGCTGCACAAGAGAACAGTGCATTCAGTCCTCCAGTCACCTCTTCATGGCTCAGAGGAGGAAACCCCACCAGGATTTTTAATCAGTGCACTGTTAGTTTGGTCACTTCACCCAGCCAACAGCAACTCCCTGGAGCTGAAAAAACAAAATAGAGGCTTGTTCCTTAGACTGTGCACAGCTCTGGGTAACCCAAAAGAGAGCCTCCTTTTTGCTGAATTGGAAGGACTAATCTCTGAAAATTAGGAGTTGCTGTTGTACCACAGATCATAATCAAATTAGATTTATCTCATCATGTAGATTAGAACACTAATTGTCAGCCTATACATGCAGTGCGCACACACATCTGTGAACATAAACACACATCTCTGTATTCAGGAGTGCACACAAGGTTGAACCCAAATTCCAAATGGAGAGGATGTTGGTACCTGGTGTGGAAAGGAGGGTCTCCACGGTTGCAGTGCTGGACAAACACTGCTTCATCACCATCTTTGACTGCTTCAGACATCTGGGCTTGTCCATAAAGATGGTATCTTGGAGGTGGAGGACTGGGCAGAGCTTGTGGTGGAGGAACAACAGTTAAGCCATAGACAAGTGCATGGCCTGGTAGGAGTCGAAGAGATTGCGCTGGAGATTGGGTTCCTGCCAGTGAAACTTTAGTAGCCGAGGGGCAAGCTAAATCCTTGTGACCTTGTGGTCAAATTTCTAGCCACAGCTTCTGCAAGAGAGAATCCAAGTGATGCCGGTGCCCTTGCTGAAGTCAGCAGACCTGAGAAACATGTATCATTGTCAGAATCCCAAGCACAGGCTGACAAACTTCGTCACTTCTTGGAGACAGAGGCTGGTGCATCACATTACTTCACTGTGACTGATGGAACTGAGACCTCTGCGGAGCAGCAGAGAGCACCGTCCTGGGGACACAGGTCACCGACTTTTTTTAGTTATGACATGACTGAAGGCGTGCTCACCATACCGAGGGTGGGCTGAATGCACTCTCCCATGTCAGGGTCATTACAACGCATTGCCAATGCTGTTCTTTGGTGTTCCCACTTCATACAAATTAATGGTACCACAACTGTTTGGTTGTTTTTTTTTTTGTGATCTCCTTGCGTCTCAGTTTTGTGTATATATGTGTATGTGTGTGTCTACATGCACAAATTTAAAGCTGGCACAGTTGGCTGGAAACATAAATGTAAAATAAGAAGTGTAAATGAAAACTGGAGCTTAGCCGAGAATACTCTGCTGGATGTAGATGGAGATGGAAAATAGATCTGTAGGTTAAGAAACAGCCTGTTTAGAAAAAGATGTAGAAAGAAGAATATAACTCAAAGAAGCAATGTATAAAGCAGGGAAGACAAGAGGAAACGGAATGGCAATGATTATAAACTACAAGCTAAAACAATGCAAGGGATTGATAAAAGGAAGCCAAAGGATTAATAGACTATCAACTGCCAGTTGAGTTAAAGAAATGTAGAAAGCATTCCAAAAATCCTGTTAGGAACAATGCTGCCTGCTGTCCCAAGCACATCCCCATGGCAGCATAGGCCAATTGCTAAATGCAGATGGTAAAATCATAAACAGTGGTGCAAAAAGGCAGAAATGTTCAATAGCTATTTCTCCTCTGCATTTGGAAGTGAGCAGGATATTCATCCCATATGATGTTGCGGATGGAGTAAAGCGTTTACCATCTGGAACAAAGGAGGATGTGAGGCAGCATCTGCTAAAATTAAATGTTTTTCACATCATCTGGCCTGGCTATCTTTGTGTCTTAAAGGAACCAGCTAAAGCACTTGGTGAAGTTTTATATTTACAAATCTGGGGAAATTCCAAAGACATGGGAGAGTGCCAGGGCTGATCTGGGACTTCAAAAGCCTCAGTGGGACACTCCAGGGAGCAATCAGCTGCTTAGCAGGGCAGCATCCCTTGACAAACCAGACGTTAAGTCAGGCCTCCAACAATAAGGAATTAGAGGCTAAAAATAAAAGCAGCACTAATCAGCTGGGTTTCGTGGAAGGTAAGTCTCATTAGATAAACCTGTTGTCTATTTTTTCAGACAAGATTAGAGATCTGGTTGACACAGTACTCTTGGCTTTCTCCACCACATGACAGCTTGATTAATGAGCTCACATTATGCAGGATGAATAGGGCACACACCACCTGGATTAAGGCTTGGCTGAGTGACAGATGTGAAAATTGTAGCTATTGATGGGGAAACAGCAACAGGCCAAAAATGTTCAACAGGGTAAAGCCAGCCACACAGAGCTCAGTGCTTCTGTAGCTGCAGTCTCAGTAGCTCACCCTTCTCTGTTCTACAGTAGAGGGTTTGAGAGCCCAGCATTGCACGTGTGCCTTGGCAAGGTCTGTCTCATCTGTTTGCAAAGTACTGGGATGTATCTGCACAGTTACTTCCACTAATCAGGTGGAAAAGCAGGGAGGCGACGAAGATGGGCTGATATTTCAGGAAGCTGTGAGAAATGATGGACGATGAGAAATCAACTGCTGTCCTCAGGGGCAGCCTCCACACGCAATGCCATACTTCTGGCCTGACAAACCCACTGAGGCCAGCAAGCAAATCAGTAGCAGAGCAGGGAAGAGAGCTCAGCAGTCACTGGCTCTGGGCCTGACCCAGGCTGACTCACTTATCTTACACATGTTGCATCTTTTCCATGCAAGGAGCAGGCACTGACATCAGCAGAGCCCAGAACTCCTCCCGCTGGCCAGCATGGGCTCTTTCTTCCCGGCCAAAGCTCTGATTTCCACCGTCATAGCGCTGGAGCAGCACCTCATAAAGCAAGCAAACAGACACTGCTGAATAGAACTCTGATAGAAGGTGGAAGACGTAAGTTCTTGTATGCTCATTTTTGCATATAGAAACGATTGTATGCATGTATGATACATTTGCTCCTACTTTATCACTTCATGGTCCCTTCTGACAACTTCACTCTTCAGGAATTGGACTCAGTGCTTATGGGCTCCATCCAACTTGGGATAATCTATGATTCACAGGTAGGTCAAATTGTAGGTACTGCACAGTAGGAAGAAGACAGGTAAGGAAAACTTCTTTATGTGCATTCTTATTTGTTCCTACACTTGGCACAGGAAAGAGCTTGTGTCTTGAAGCTGCTTCAGTGCTGGGGCTGCTGGTAGAGCCTTGACCCGAAAAGAGGGCAAAATGATCTTTACAGGAAAGGGAAGAGTGAAACAAGGTAAACTAACTGGTTGGAAAACATTTTATATCCTCTGGAAACCAATAAGATTCATTTCATTTCCTCTGCAGTGCCTCTGCTTGATGTGGGATTGCTGCCAACTATGACATCTCCCCTAGGATCAACAACACAGAGACTAGGGATAACCGACAGCTGGACTCATTTGGGCCTTCCTTTCAGGAAACAAATTACACTGTGATTAATGAGCAAAGCAGAGGGCAGAAAGCAAGGCTTTGGGGGTGCTCCAGGAAAAGGCTGGCCTCCTATGCCTGTCCCTTTGGCCATTCCCCACCCATGTGGAGAATCGAGGTTGTTCCACACTGTTACAGTGGTGCACTGGAGACAGAGAAGGAACAGGAGTGTGGAAGGAAACTGATCCCCTCTCTGTGCAGGGGTCCCTGGGCAGGGAGCTAAACCTACAGTTGTACGGGGCAGGCAGGGTAGGCAAGAGCCCAGTCTGGCTGCAGAGCTGTAATAATTTGTTCCGGGGCTGTTTTCATCTGGAACAACCCTTTCTGAGCCATAATTACACTCAGTCACCCCAGAAAATCAGCAGAAACTCTAATCCTTTTAGCTGTGTGAGTACAATGAAAACAGGCACACAGCCAGTACACACTGCTGCTGCCAATCCTGCAAGCACACCGCACTGCAAGCACTGAGCCCCCAACCATCTCCTATGGCTAGCTCCTTTTTGGAGACCTCAGCATGCAGCCATGCAATCATAGAATCATTGAATTATAGAGTCATAGAATCAGTAAGACTGGAAAAGACCTCTAAGATCATCTAGTCCAACCCATCACCACAATGGCCACTAAACCAGGTCCCTCAGTGTCACACCCACATGTGTCTTGAAAACCTAGGTCCCACCATCATATGCACAACCAGGGTGAGAGGAGATGGTGTTGGGCTGGGATTGCCTGCAGAATATCCTGCAGGTCGGGCCCTGCATGTAGCTGTAGCATCCTGGAGCAGTGTGAGGTTTCCCCCAGTCACCAGAAAACCCCAGGTGGGGTGGACAGGGTGAGAAGGCCTTACTGGCCCCATGCCAAGGACCAAGGTGCTTGCTGAGGTGTACCAATACCTCATTTGTTTATTTGCCACACCCGTGGGTGAGGAAAACTGTATTGTTCCTGGTTATCTTGAGATCAGTGCCAACCAGCATGACATGAGGGGCAGACAAAAGCATTATGCACAAAGGAAAAAAATTACCCTGGACTCAGTTCAGAAGGATAGGGGAGGAGATCCCTCTGCTCTACCTGCTTGTGCTGGGACAAAGCTGCACACGTCACCTTGATGCTCAGTGAGAAGGTGACAGTGCTGCCATGCTTTTTACTGCTCCGGAGCACCCAGGAAACACCACTTGCCTTTCTGGTGGATCTGCATAGCTTCGGAATTCACCTGCCCCTGGACATCCCCTAAGAGAGAAGAATTTACCCATTTTCCCAGAAGATATTTAATGGGAGAAGATTGCAGCTCCTTGTTGAGATGAGCACTGCTTCACCTCTTTGGAGTTCCAGTGGATATGCCTCCACTATATAGACTGATTGCAAATCTGCCTCCCTACCCTCAGGTGCCTATTTCACCATTTCCTAGAAGCACCCCACTGCAGTCATCGGCATCGCGCTGCACCTGGAACTGAAAGTTCAACAGAATCAAAGCATATCTCTCAGTGGTGGTTGCTGATGGAGATCATTGAAGCAGGTCCTGACTCACAGTCAGATTCTAGGAAGAGCTGAAGCAAAGTTTCAAGAGCACCAGAGCAGAACTCAGATGAGAGGAAACTTCTCCTGGTGAAGAAGCAGCAGGATTCAGAGCCTTGTGGGGAGACAAAAGATGAGATTAGGGCCGACAGCATCACAGCTGCAGCAGAAGGCTCACAGGGATGTGAGCTCTGCAGCTGGGATCAGGAATTTTGCAGGAGAAGAATCATGCATCAATGTGGAGGATGTTGTGATGCTCTTGTGAGACCATGTACAGGCTGACAGTGGTGACAGCGGTGCTGAGCTGTGAGCACATCAGTGCAGGAGTTGCTACAAACAGGCTGTGTAGTTTTTCCAAATTGCTTGGTGCTGCTTTTTCTTTTTTTTTTTTTTTTTTTGGTCACAAAGAAAAATTTCAATAATTTTCAAAGAGCATGACAAAAAGAAATAAACACCCTTTTTTTTTTTTTTTTGTATGAAATACATTTTGCAATCTGAATATATATCTAATGCTTATAGAAAAATACCATTCCTATACAGCCATGAGTCAGGTACAGTTCAGTCTGGTTGATCCCAACAGATTCAACATTAATTTAGGTTTGTGCTGCTGAACGTTTGGGGCTCTCTGCTTTGGCCTGCATTAACCACAAGTTCCTCCAGGCACCAACACATCTTCATGGCTCAGTCAGTGTCACGGGCTGCCCATTGCATGGAAATAGCTGCAGGAGCTCCCCAAGTGAGTTGTGCAGCCTGTGCGGAGCTCTGGCACCTGGACGCAGCCTATGGGTCACACTGTCCCAGCCATGGAAGCTGCATGCCTGGAGAACACCAACGTGGAGCAAGGGCACATATCTACGGCATGGAAAGGGATGCAGAATGGGGCTGGCTGGCTCCAGGCTGCAGAAGTCAGACTGTATTTACGTGATGCTGCCTACGAGCTCCCAAGCCCCAGTTCTTGGCAGCTACAGCCTGATTTGTCTAGACTACATCTGAACTCAAGCTGGCTCCTGGCCAGCACAAATGAATCTCTCAACACTGTGCTTCCCACATGTCCAATCTTGGGATTAGCATGGGCAGAGAGAGCTCCCATCTATCTGCAGCAGCCAAAGCAGTTGGATTTGCTAGAACACTTATCTCCCAAACTCTTTGACACATCTTGTTTTGTATTTGCAGCTCGTGCAAGGGTCTCTGTCCTTGACTGGAGTTCCTTGGAGATACTGCAAAATAAATACTAACAATTTGCACTATAAATATATACGTTTTCTATCAGTTGAGCCAAAAGTGGATGAAGTCCATGGACAGCTTTCATCGATTTTACAGTGGGACATTTATTTTTGTTCAGAATAATTAAAAAAAAATAACATCATACGGTTGTATTAGTATATGAAGCAACACACATTCCTGGGCCCTGGTACACAGTCATCCATGCTATTTAATAGTGCAAATGTTCCATTGTGCAGTTCTGGCTGGCACTAACTAGCAGGCTCCCAGCAGCCTGCAGTTCCCAGGCAGGGCTGTCTTGCAGTCTACAAAGGCTGTTCAGCTCACAGTGGGCAGGTTGGGTACAGCTTTGTTATGATGGATAAGGGAATTAACTGTATGGACGTGGTGTTCCGCACCAGCTCACCTCAGGGCCAGAAATGGTCCCGGGCAAATTTGTTTCTTACCAGTATAGACATAGCCTTTGGTTGTGACCACTCATTTAAGTGTGTGTAAACAGGTAATTAGGATTGCACAATTGTTGCTTGAAATAATTTTGTATGCCAGATCTTTACAAGAGAGTGGGTGCTCAGCACCCAATATGCAACATCTTTTAAGAAAGCAGCAGTAATTGTGTGTAATAAGCACTTGAAAACCTGGCCCCAGGGGTCTATATAGAAGGCTGGCAGAATTCAAGAGGAGTAGTTGACTTGGCTATTTCCATGGTGGTTTGGGTTGAGTTTTTGTTTGTTTTATCTTTATGACAGGTTTTGAAATTTGTGGCTTACTGTGGATGGCCAGATGGATGTAAGAGTAAAGAAGACTGTCTACTCAACATTTTCACAGAGAAAACTGCCGAGCTGGAATGTGAAGTCCGTGTAAGTCCAGGAGGGAAAAAGAACAGGAATGGTCAAAAACGAAGTCCTGCGGCTATTGGAACATCATCAGCTCTGGCTTCTGGAGGCCTGGTCCACCAAATTACAACCATGGAAGAAGGTGTTTTTAAAGTAATTATTTAAATAGTGTTAATTAGCTCTATAAAAATGAAAAAAAATGAAAAAGCTTTTTTTTTTTCTTTTTTTTTTTCCATTGAGGATCATAACAGGATTTATTTCTATGAGAAAAAATAAGGCTTTTTTATATTTCTTTAGCTTATTAAATTACCTCATGTTCTTTTAACCCACATTAGATTAATAGCAAGGGAAATTTCAAATACAACTTGATGTGATTTAATGTTTTCCCTTCATCAGCCTGATTACTGAGACCACATTCCTCAAACTCTTTCCTGCCGTGCCGATCATTCAGCGCAGCCCCCGGACTGGGATAAATCCTGGATTACAGTGAGATTCTGTCAGACTCATGACCCTGCTTACAGCTGCAGCCACTCTAGCTGGGCTTTTGGCCCCTTTTATTGGGAGTTGTGGTGTTTGTGTCAAATTTTTGACACTGTTCTTCAGTTGCAGTTGGTTCTATCGTAAGTGGGCGGAAAAAGTCGAGAGCTTTCTGATTCAGGTTATCTGTTTGCAAAATGAATGCACGCTAAAACTGCGTGCTAATTAGTCATGCAAAAAAAGAATATATGTACAGTATACAGATAGAGACATTCCCCCTCCTTGTAGGATCTCCAAACCTCTTGAAAACGTAACAAATAGTTCCCAGAGGTCACTTTATCTCCTCCTGAACTGCAGCCAGTGCTGGAGTGATCTGTGGCAAATATTTAACATTCCAGAGAGACAATTTAGGCTAGGAAGTGGAAAGGAAAGCCTTGTTCAATTGAAACTAGAGGGAGATTTCAGATAGGCAGGATGTAAATACCTAAATTGTGTTTCGATTAATTACTCTGAGGTAGTCATAAGCTTGGTCACCTTTTATAAACAGTCATAAGAGGAAAGGAAAACTATAGAAAGGGAATTTCAAAATCATCCTTCACAAACATGAATGAGTTAAACAATATCTGATAAGAAGGCAGTGTCTTGGGTTTTATTTTCAAAACATCCCATGTGTAAATGAGTAATGCAACGTTCAACTCTTGAGCAAGTGGCCATGTACATAACAAGCTGTTTACTCAAGATACTTCCATCAAACACAATCAGGTTGCCTAACTAAGTTTGCAAGCAAATTTTACAAGACCCCCATTGCAACAGGTACTGACTGCAAATACCTCACACAAAAGTCTAAGAAAGGATTAAAGCTAAATGTGACACTGATAGTGAGCATTGACGTACAGAAATGTTATCTCTGGGAAAACAGGAGCTGGTGACAGTCGGGCTGCTGGAAAATAAAGCCTGTCAGGGAGCCAGCAAGTGTAACGCTGGAGGGGAAACCTGCCAGTCAGGGGAAAAGTGAGAGAGGGGAAAGGTTTAGTGGGAGATTTTGTCCTCTTCTGAGATGCTTCACAGCACACAGCCTGGAGCAATTTGATTTGATTTGACTGCTTGAGGCAATGTGCCCTGGAAGTACATTGCTCTGCAAGAGCACACACCATTTGCTTTTAAAGCTACATCTGATAAACGAGACCCACAATGAAACGTACCATTTTATCTCAGAAAAAAAAAACTGCATAAAGGTGAACAGTAATCAGGAGGAGGTTCATATACTATTATTATTCTGAAAACAATTACTCTTCAGTACTGGAAATCTAAAAAACCTGCATATTTCAGTTCTCTGTCTTTCCAGGTTTTGGCACAGGAGCTATCAGTTTCTGTTAGTCAGACATTATACCCCAAGACCAGTGATGAGTGGCAGTCCTCAGGGATTGGTGCTGGGACTGTTGCCCCTCTGCTCTGCTCCTGTGAGACCCCATCTGGAACACTGCATCCTGTTCTGGGGCCCCCAACACAAGAAGGACGTGGAGCTTTTGGAGCAGGTCCTGAGGAGGCCACAAAGATGATCAGAGGGCTAGAGTACCTCCTCTGTGAGGACAGGCTGAGAGAGCTGGGGCTGTTCAGCCCTATAGCAGCCTTCTGGTACCTGAACGGGGTACTAGAACTGAACTATAGAAAGGTGGGGAGGGAATTTTTTAGAAGGACATGTTAGCGACAGAACAAGGAGAAATGTTTTTAAACTGGAAGAGGGTAGATTTAGACTAGATATTAGGAAGAAGTTCTTTACTGTGAGGGTAGCGAGACACTGGAACAGATTGCCCAGTGAGGTTGTAGATGCCCCCTCCCTTGAATCATTCAAGGCCAGGAAGCTTTGACATATTCTCCTGCATCATTTCCCTCTAGACTCCTTGACAAAGTAACCTTCCTTTGGGCAGCATTAAGATCAACTAAATGTTTAAAATGAGGAATTTTAAAGTTTATTTTTAAGTTTAAAGTGAGAAGAAGGAAGAGATAGAATCATAACCACTTTCTAAATCTTGGAATATATCTGGAACAAATATCAAATAAATATTTGAAAGCCCAAAGGATGGGCAGCAGACAACATGTAATACTTCAAAGCAACTAATGTGGAATCAAACTTTCATTTTACAGTATGGTAAAAGATTTAGGGGATGAAGTTCCATCTCAGCTTTTATCTTGATAAAGTCCCTCTGACAGCCAAATATTGTCCAGATTAGTTACTGATATAGTAGTTAGCAAAAGAACTTGTACTTGGAAAGTATTAGTTTAACTGTGAGTTAATCACTCCCAGTATGGAAAACTGTAGCTAGTGGAGTTCTGCCAGGGTTTGTCCTGGGTCACACTCTTCTAGAATGACTTGAGTAGTGACAAAGCTGCACATATGCTATTAGTCATGGTCAGAATTCAAAATGATTGAGAATTATAGAAATGGGCTGAAAAAGGAAGGGTACAGTGATGCAGGTGCAAAATGCTACGTGTGTGCAGAAATAGAGTAACTAGACAGATCTGGGACAGGGAACAGTTGTTTAGCCAGCAGTTCTCTTTCGAGAAGACTCTAGGTTTATAGTAGATCACATGCTGAACATGAATCAGCTGTGTCATGGGATTGTGAAAGAGACAAACACTGTATTGGTAAGAGGAATGCATCTTGCAAGACAGATGAAGTCATCCTTCTCCACTTATCATTGGTGAGGCCACGGTTGGTGCATTATGTTGAGTCTGGGGCAGTTCAGTAAAGATATGAGCTAACTGAGGAGAAACCAGAAGGGGGCAGTGGGAAAGATCAGTGATGTGAAAAGCACTACTTTGTCATGCTGATACCGGAGAAATTGCAGTCAGCTTAGACAAGACTAAGGGAGAACACAAGAGCATTCTCTAAACACAGAAGGGCTATTTATTATTTTTTTAATTTAGAATGTGCCATGGAAAAAAAAAATAGTGGCTTACATTTTATCAGGAAAATCCAGATTATTCATTGGGAAAAAAAAATCTGATGATGAAAGACAATGAAGCACTGGAATCAATTGATATGGTAAAGCTTGAAGGAAAAGTAGTGCAAGTGCGCCAGGAATTACATAGATACAACATTTTTATTTTATTTATTTATTTATTTTTAAAGACTCTTGTTTTTAAACAAGAAAGATCATCTTTAGAGATCCATTTTTTTTTTCCCAGAGTATGGGACAGCATGTTTTAGGTAACTCAGTAGTATCACACAGCTGCAGCTGAGATTGGAAGGGACCTCTTGAAATGGTCCAGCCCACTCTGCTGTTCAAAATGGATACATCCAGAGAAGGTTACTCTGAGCCACAACCAGTTTTACTTTGCTCTGAGAAATCTATTCCAGTGTTTGAGCATCCTCACATTGGAAACTGACCATCCTTTTCACATGTGACCTTTCACTGGATTCATTCCTGCATGGTAAAGGTACCTGGCACTGGACACAGCATTCCAGATGTGTTTCACTAGGGCAGAGCAGAGGGGAAGGATCAACTTGTGATGACATTCCGTCATACAGATCATCAATGAAAATCTTACTGGTGCCCATTACCAACTGCTGAGGAACACCACTAATGACTGTCCTGCAGCTAGGTTTGTGCTACTAACTGCAACCAGTCAAGCCTAGTAATTCAGTCAGCTTTCAGCCCACCTCACTATCCAGTTATCTAGTCTGTATTTCATCAGTTTGCCAACAAGGATGTTGTGGGAGACAACATTGAGAACTTGCTAATGTCAAGATAAACAACATCCTCTGCTCTCTGTTCACCCATCAGGTCACTCACCATATTGTAGAAGACTGCTGCACTAATTAAGCACAACTTGTCCTTCACAGATCTATGCTGTCAGCTCCCAGTCATCTTCTTGCCATTCAGACATTTGGAAATGGTTTCCAAGGCTGTTTGCTCTGTTTGTTTCTCAGGAAGAGAGGTGACTTCCCTGAGACTGAGGTGAATCTCACTAGCTTGCGGTTTCTCAACTCCTTCTTGCCCTTCCTGAAGATAGTATCAGCATTTGCTTTCTTGTAGTTGTCAGGAACCTCCCCAGTTGCCACAATCTTTCAGAGATAATCTAGACTGACCTCACACAGATATTGGCCAGCTCCTACAGTACTGATGGGTGCACCATACCATGTCCCATGGACTCGCATAAGTTTTTTAAATTTCCTTTGGCCATAGGGTTCCTGAAGTTAGGTCTAACCAGTGAGGACCAAGGTGAAGAAAACATCAAGTTTCTTGGCCTTTTGCACTTCCTTTTTGTTAGGTATGCTAGCCCACACATGGGTGTGTGTGCATTTTTTATGGATGCATCCAAGTCTTCCTTTTGCTGATGATGTACCTTCAGAAACCAGTCCAGGTTTGTAGTCCAGGTTGTGATCCAGCTTTTTGTCTTGCTCCCACTTTTCAGGATCCTATGCTCCATCATCTCATGGTCATGGCAGCCAAGACTTCCCTGTCCCTTGACATGCTGGACCGGTCTCCTTGTTTGTAAGCATGAGGTCTTTCACCACATAAAGGTGTGTCAGTGGGGGGAAATTGCCACGTGGAGATGTTCAGGAAACAAAATTGTTTCCCAACTCTGGTCTGAAGAATAATGGAGCTAGGGTATAGACCTCCTTATTTTCATCCCATCAGTCTGCTCTGCTCATCTTCTACTGCATCTAGACAGGACTTACTTCTGGATTCATTTTGCTACCAGGAATGCAGGTGGGGCTGGGCAGGTATCTGTGTTAAACTAGCTCACTACAGCCGGTCTGAACCACATTTCCCCAAATCCTCTTGATGGAGTACGCAAAAAGAATTATCAGAAATGTCTTCTGGGGCTACAAGGGATGGTAAAATATCTGGAGAAATGGTAGGGATGGGATGTATGAGGGAGAAAGAAAAAAAAAAAGAAGAATGGAAAATAAAAAAAAAATAGGCACGGCAAGAAAATCTGTACGTAAAACATCACTATGGGAGCCAGAAAGGCTGATTCAAATCATTCTTTTACTACTGATCTGAAATACAGCTTTAGATGTACCTTAACTCCTGCCTTTTCTTTGGATTGTTCTTCTTTCCTCCTCCAGCTGCAGATTTATTGAGGACAGCAAAGGTAAGAGGAAGGGCTTACCCAAGGAAGATCTACCTCTGCTTCCATGCTACCAAGCCTGCACCTATCACATGAGACCAGCTGTTATGTGGCTGTGCAGCTCTCTTCCTTGTCTGCCTCAAAGAGATATGTAAGCTTCTGTGGTGCAGGAACTTTTCCTCATTCTTGTAATAACGTTGTGACCTTAGGACCCAGAGATAATCAGACTGAACAGTGGATTTCCACTGCAGAGGAACAGGTTTGGTCCATGTTCCCCATGCCTGGCAATGGCCATGAGTTCAGTGCTGTGGTGGCTCTTCTTTTCCGACTCAGTGAAAGGGAGGATGTTTGTGAGGCTGGAAATGAATGGGGTGAGCTGGAAGATATGGAGGTTACTTTGATAGGGAAATACAATAGATTGGTTTATTTTTCCTGTTTCCAGAGAAATATTTTCTTTTCTTTTAGGATAGATTATTCTTCCACATAGATAGGGGCACTTCACATGAGCTCATCCAGCATTTGTCAGGTTGTTCTGAGCTATAATCACAGGAATAAAAAAAAAAAAGTGACAGAACCCCCTTGTTCTGCAAACAAAACATGCAAAATAAAACCTATGTGAAATGTAAGGGAGAAGAGGACAGGCAAAGGTATCACCTGCCGTAGTCAAATGGCAAAGCCCCAAGAAGGGATATGGCTTACACTTAAACAAAGGAGCATTACCTTTTGCCCTTGCTGGAAGTGAATCAGCTGCAAATATCACCTGCAATTGATTGTTACCCCGGAAAAACAAATGACACAATCTTTGCAGGAGGGCATGTGCAAGGCACTGGAGA